ATGCATTCATGCATGCATACGTACATTGAAACGTATCAACATGCATGCAATTTGCATGTGTACATAGGTACATATGTACATAAATGCATCCATACATACACACACTCATGCATACACAAAACACACGAGTTTCGAGTGTACAGGCACGTCCGTGTATAAGACGAGCATTCTGAGCACGACGACTTATTCCCTCCCTAGATCTCTCGTGAGCATTACTAGCATTTCGACTGGTAATATGATTGGTAGAACTAGGTCCTAGGGACTGCAGACCTGATGTTTGTGGGTGACCACTTCAGCGGGAGTCAGACAGAGGGAGAGAGCGACATATAGTGAAAGAGAGAGCGAGAGAGAAAGATGTGTATATATATATATCCATATATATATATATATAGATAGATATGTACATACATTTATGATGTTGATTTATATCTGTATGTATATCTATATTTATACTTATGCATCGAGAAAAACAGAGAGAGAGAGAGCGAAAAAGATCCAGCGAGGCAGCCAGAGTGCGCAAGATAAAGACAGAGACAAAGATTGAATCTACATACAGTCTTGCAGAAGAAGATACAGATGTATATAGGTAAAACACCTCAAACCCAGGACCACTAAACCCTAAACCTTCATCATCCTACATCTACCAATAGACAAATGTATATTTATATATATATATATATGTGTGTGTATGGTACCCCATATATATATATATATGTATGTATGTATGCGGGTGTGTATCAATCAATCAATCAATCTATCTATCTATCTGTCTATCTATCTGTGTATCTACCTACCTATCTATCTATCTGTCTGTCTGTCTGTCTGTCTGTCTGTCTGGCGTTCTGCCGATCTACCCAACCATCTATCTCTGTATCTATCTATCTATCTATCTATCTATCTATCTAATATCTATCTATCTATCTATCGATCTTTCTACCTATCTGTCTATCTACTTATCTATTGATCTATCTGTCTTTCTTCCTTTCTACCCATATATCTAACTGTCTATCTATCTATCTGTTTGTCTATATATCTATCTATCTATCTATCTATCTATCTATCTATCTATCTATCTATCGATCTTCCTGTTCCCCATGCATAGATCATGGCTCGCTGTTGGCGCTTACATATGTTTTAATGCATGTGCATATCAAAAGATATATGTATGACAAATGCATCCACAAGACTCCTGCTATGTTGCGGCCATGGATTTGTATGTTTGCCAATGTGTTTCCCAAGATACAGATACCGCTTGGGTTTGGATGCACGGCTGGGGCATTTTCAACACTCCGCTGTCAGGTGTTCTTGCCTGACCTTGCTGTAGCCGTCATGCTGCTGGCAACCAATGGAAGTCGCTGCGACAAGGTCCAGACCCTGTCGAGGGATTAGGGCCCGTCAAGAAAAGGGGTTTCGGCCCCAATGACATCTTGGATTCGGCTTGGGGTCTTTCTAGGCTGGATTTTAATTGAGCACGCGAAGAGATCTCGTGCCTGGGACGTTACATTGTAGGCGCGCCTCATCTTTACGGTCTTCGACACCGTCGCTTGGCAGCAGACGTCTTGGTGCGGCGTGATGGGTCGTGCTTTCCGATACTGCTGGGATCTGACTGATTAGTAATCGCCTGACCTTCTAATCCCTATGTAGTCATACAGTAAAAGACCCCCGAACCTTGTTCTTTTATTAAGGCCCTATAATCCAAGCTGTGGCCCGATTGGTTGCAGCCGAGAGTCCGTGAACAACGAGCTAAATTCAAGTGACTCAAGTGGTAGCATATCCAGAGCCGAAAAGTTCGATACCGTCACCTAGCCAAGGCCCTAAACGCAAAGCAACCGAAAAAAAACCCTAAACCCCTAAACCCTAAACCCTAAACCCTAAACCGAGGACAGCGATGGGTGTTTGTCTTCAGAGCAGCTTCTGAAGATGTACTGCAGCCTGGTCATCCATGCGGCCATCGCCCGCAGACTCCTCAGCTATTTTAAGGTTAAGGATTTTAGGGTTTAGGGTT